TATGAGTGTAACTTGTGATGACTTTCATCGACTTTTGTTCCACAACTCGCTTGACATTAAAACATAACACACGGATGTCATACGACTAATATAAATCATAACATAATCTCCTTATCATGTTAATCACCCTAGTCTCACCCCAAAGGTACATGTTATAACATTCCCAACTTGTCGACTTTCGACGAAACATTATTTTATTCAATTGCTTTAGCTTCTGAACTGTCCAACCCTCTTTGTACTTGTTGTTCATGATATTCAATATTTGTAACCTCATAGGTAACATGATTAACTTACTTTATATACTTTTAAATATTATCTCATTTTTGGTCCTACATTAGTTTGCTTACGACGCATTTTTACGTACAAAATATAGGGTGTAACATTAAGTCCCTTGGGTCCGCATCTGCGAGAGTAGCGCCGTACCTACGGATGCGCTCCTGCGACCCTCACCGCTCCTGCGCACAGACCAATAGCAGAAGCGAGGCCGCTTCTGTGCGATTACCTCCGCACCTGCGAACCTAGCTTGGGCTGCCAAATCTTGCATCTGCGCTCCTTCATCTGCACGAGCGAGTCTACACCTGCGGTCTCCCCACTGCAAGTTCGAGAACACTAGAAACCAAAAACTTCTGCAGATACACAAGTCCAATTTTCGATCCACTAAGCATCTGAACTATTCCCGAGGCCCCTGGGACCTCAACTAAATGTACCAATAAGTCCTAAAGCACCATACAAACTTAGCCGAGCCCTCAAAATACGTCAAACAACAACGAAAACATGAATCACCCTCCAATCCAAATTTAATGAACTTGAAACTTTAAATTTCTACAACCGATGTCGAAACCTATCAAATCACGTCCGATCGACCTCAATTTTTGCACACAAGTCATATTCAACATTACGGACCTACTCCAACTATCGAAATTGGAATCCGACCCCGATATCAAAAAGTTCACCTCCGATCCAAATCTCAAAAAATCTGACTTTCGCCATTTCAAGCCTAAATCAGCTACAGACCTTAAATTTACAGTCTGGACCCGCTCCTAAGTCCAAAATACCCAACGGAGCTAATGGAACAAACAGAACTTCAGAGTCGTCTTCACATCGTTTGGATTACGGTCAAAATCCTAAGACTTAAGCTTCAGTTTTTAGAGACTAAGTGTCCCAAATCACTCCGAAACAACAACAAAACCTCCCGGCAAGTCACACAAGAAG